GACGCACGGCGTGCACCCACGTGGAAAACGGGGCCGGAGCTGTGACCGGACCCCAAATTCCTAACAACACGCAGGCCGTGGCGCTCAGCGGCATCGCCCGCGAGTTCGACGCACAGCGCGGCCCGCGGGAAACGAGGCCGGAGCTGTGACTGGACCCCAAATCCCTAACAGCACACAGGCCGTGGCACTCAGTGGCACCGCCCTCGGCATCACCCACGAGTTCGGTGCGTGGAAATCGGGCAGGAGCTGTGAATGGACCCCAAAGCTCTAACAACGTGTGGGGAAAAGCATAAAAAATGAGTGTGACTAGAGTCTGCTGGCAGTGCCAAACTCGTGTGACTGGAATTCACCTCTCAGGGAAGTTCCTGGCTTAGGGGGAACATAACAGTCACGTCTGATTCCTAGTACCTGTGTGAATTACATTAGCAGATTATTTTTATCATCTAGTGAAACACTTGACCAAGGCTAAAAAAGACTAGCATTGTTTTTTACACTAAGAAGTACAACAGATTGTTTACCTTGGATGCTAACAGTTTGAAAAATTTCACGTCTTGATGTGAGCAGAGATGTTACTTCTTGTTCTCACAGTTCCAGTCTGCCAAAACTGGTCAGTATTGTTACTTAAAGGAAGATGGTTCACTTGATTCTTACATTTTCATGTAGCATTTTTCTTACTTGCTTGAAAAACCCAACAACACCCAGTCCTCGAGGTCCCTCTAGAACACAGTGCTGAGGGTGCAGGACTGAGAAAAGAATGAGGTGAGAGCCTAGAGCAGCGTAAGGAGAAACCTTTCTCTTATTTCGATGTGCCCTCATCCATTTTTATTTGGTACAGAGAATGTGTCGGAAATGGCTTGTTGTGCATAAGGGTGTTATTTCTACAGCCAGACGTGCCCAAGCAGCACAGCATGGAGAGCTGTCAGACTGCCCACAGTGGCAAATTGCTGACTGGTGGCACACGTGGTGCTGCGTTCTGTAGCACAGATACTCCGTTACATCCCGAAACTGGGAACTCAGGGAGCTCAGCTAAACGTTAAGCCCAGTCTTGACGCCAGGACTAGAAGTCTCACAGCCTTTTGAGAGGTTTTTTTGAGGCCTTCCTTTTCTCCAGCTGAAGGCCTGTCCAGAGAGTTACTTTTGGCCAAGGCTGAGCAAGAGATGGTGACATGTTCCAGATGAGCATTTTCATGGAATCATTTAGGCTGTAAAGGACCACCGAGTTCAGCCTCTTGCTCAGCACCACCTAAGCACCTGGGCCACAGCACTGAGCACCACATCCAGCTGGTTCCTGAACACGTGCAGGGATGGTGACTTCATCACCCCCTGGGTAGCCTGTCCAATGCTCAACCAGCCTTTCAGTAGAGAATTCTTCCTGCTGTCCATCCTGAGCCTCCCAGTGTACAGCTCGAGGCTGTGTCCTCCTGTCCTATTGCTTGTTAGCTGAGAGAAGACACCAACTCCCATCTGGCTACAGCCTCCTGTCAGGGAACTATAGAGTGGTAAGTTCACCTCTGAGCCTCCTTTTCTCCAGGCTAAACACCCCCAGCTCCTCGAACACTCCTCACAGGCCTTACCCTCTGACCCCCACTGCTCTGCCCTTCTCTGGACATGCTGTAGCACCTTGGCTTCCTTGCAGTGAGGGCCCAAAGCTGGATACAGGACTTGAGCCGGGAGATTTTCTGATCTCCACTTTTACTATAGGAATGTAATTACATGTGAAATGTCCATTTTATGTATTCCACAATGGCATGGAAGGTCTCCATCATCACCAAGATTTACCCCCACCTCCCTTCCCTGCAGCTAATCACAAGGTACTTCCAGGCTGTGACAAAATAAAGGATCTTTCAGGAAAGGTTTTGGTACTTACCTTCCTGCACTGTTTAGCAGCTCTGCTTCTCTGAGTTTAAGGAGCAAGGTGTCTTGGATAAGAGCTGGGAGAAGATAGCCTTACCTGCCTCTTTCCCAGGTTAGTGCTTTTAGTATTCCTGGTTGCTCCCTGCCGTGTGATGGAACAGCATATTGTCATCTGTTCCAGTGTGACTCTGGCAACTCTTATTACCCAAGCCTGTCAAACCAGAGTATCTGATATTTTGAGGGGTCAGTGTTGTACCTGCATTTTTAATGGAAGCTACTAGGACTGGTTTAGTCTACTCTTCATAATTACAATCACTCTTGTGCCTTAAAACTAAAAGCTTGTAACTAAACTGTTTGCTTGAGTTTTCTGGCCCACTCAGCAAAACTTAACTTTTTCATTCTTGGCTCACGTGTTGTCTTTATCTCACGAATATCCATCAGTAAAGACGAGAGAGAAGGCTCTGAACGAGCTGTCACTGGTCAGGCAGGAATGTGCCTACTCTTCCACCGAAGCCTTCGATGTAGTCTGACAGTTCCAGCACAGGAGTTCTGGAGGTGAGAATCCTTTGCAGTAGAAACCATTCCCTTCGGTCTGGAGCACCTCTGGCTGGTGACCGTGCAGCAGCAGAAGTCAATGTTGTTTTACACGGGAATGAGAAGTTCTGAGTTGTTCTCATGTTGAAGAACACAGGAACAGCAATCGGCCAAATGCAATGTTCCAAATATAGAGTCTGAAAAGTAACACTTACTTTAGGCTTAATAACATACTTGTGTGATAGATGTGTTTTGCAGATGGCATTTTTATTTTGAACCATTTTGCATACTTGAAAGAAACAAGTTCCACTCACTAGCGTATGTATTTGTGTCACAAGTGAATTAATGCTGCTGCTCTGGTCCTTGTTCCAAACGCAGCTGTTTGATGCTCTCGTGGTACACCTGCTTATGAGTTGACCATTGTGAGAACACATTATGGCACTAGCACAGAACTGCTCTTGTTAAAAGGCCTGTGCACTCACTGGATCAGCTGTTTCTGCACCAAACACCTGTGTTCTGCATCTGGTGATTACAGGTGTTCACTGTTGGAAAGAGCTGAAATAAACTTACCTTGTAAGTGCAACCAATTTTAACGTCAGCTTAGTTCTTTGGGGTTTTTTATTGACAAGTTTTAAAAGTCCTAAAACGTTTACTGGTTAAATAGAAGCTCCCAACAATAATTAGCTCACCAGGACACCTGGTTGGTCGACAGAGATGTCAATACATAACTTGAGCTATTAGTTGGTAAAATGAGATACACATAAGATTTTGTTTGTTTTCTCATGGTTAAAAGCCAAACCCATTTTTACCAGCCATTTAGAAAGGCATGGTTTGTGAAAACTAATTCAGTTTGTTTCCTTAGTGTGAGAAGGTGACTCTGTAATGTCAGTATTGAACAGTGGAAACATGTGGGTTTGCTGTACCTGGTGTTTAATGGCTGTTCACAGCTCTCACTGCAGCTTGATCCCTTCCTGCTGCTGATGCACCACCTGCCTCTGCTCCAGCCCTCCCAGTGCTCTGCATGGCTCCTTCACCACCAGCCTCTCCGCTCCAGCCCGTGCTCTGCATGGCTCCATCACCACCTGCCTCTGCTCCAGCCCTCCCAGTGCTCTGCATGGCTCCATCACCACCTGCCTCTGCTCCAGCCCTCCCAGTGCTCTGCATGGCTCCATCACCACCTGCCTCTGCTCCAGCCCTCCCAGTGCTCTGCATGGCTCCATCACCACCTGCCTCTGCTCCAGCCCTCCCAGTGCTCTGCATGGCTCCATCACCACCTGCCTCTGCTCCAGCCCTCCCAGTGCTCTGCATGGCTCCATCACCACCTGCCTCTGCTCCAGCCCTCCCAGTGCTCTGCAAACACAGGCTCGAGAGAGCAGCAGAGGGAGGGGAAGATGTGCTCCAGAGACAGCACTGAGCACAGGTGAGGAACGTTGTGTTTGTCACTGCGTCACTCGACGCGACACCCAAAGCGAAGGAGCCGTTTTAAGGGGGTCAGGGTTTTGCAGCCCTTGCAGTTGGGGTAGCTGCAGTAACAAAATGCACACAGTGTGTTCCTGAAGCTGTTTCTGTCACCATGGGCATTGTGCTGCTACAGTTAAGGTTAACAAGGAGGAGGATGCAGCAAGCCCAAGGGTTTTACCACTGTTTAGAAGTGAAACTGTAAAAGTAGAGCTCAGCTGCTGCAAACTCACAGGAAAAACTTGCACTTCAAATCATTTATTGAAAAGAGATTTCAGCAGATTAGCCAGCAGAGCATGTGATTTTTACAGATCAGTGGTGATTGCATTGTTGTACTAACAGGCATTTCCAAACTGGTAAGGCTTTCAGGAACACAGGAACAGAGCTACGTGCTAAGTGTTCAGTGCTGCTTCCTCCTAAACGAGCAGCCTGCAAAGGAATCACACGAGACACAGCACAGTTAGATTTCATGTGGCACAAGAGGCTAAGATTTAGCACTTTAATCTTCTCTGGCTCAGCCACAAAACAGAGCTGTCCTAATTCAGCTTAAAATAAGGCTATAGTGTACAATTTCTTTTCTTCCAGGTGTCCTTTAAAATTTCAGTCTACTGCTCCATCCCCTAGTGACACAAACACCAAACTGAAGCAGCTGCTAGGTGTGCTGCTGCTCCTCAGTGCTCAGCAGCCTTCCTTCAGGTGTTGTGTCCTCACACACACACCACCTGTGTACAGCCCATGGCATAAGCACTGCTCTGTGTCACCTTCTGTGCTTTAAACACAAACTGAACAAAATCTGGCTTAGTTTTCAATTTTTTTGAACCCTGTGGTATTTCCTCTGCTCTTCAGATACCCTAGACACTGGGTGGCATTTCAAGATACTAGTGTTACAATCATCAGGGGTTATTTGCACCCTACAATTTCCACAAAGCAGATTTTAGTAAGTACCAGGAGCCAGGGAAGTGCCTTACAGTGCTCCTGCTTCAGAACAAGCTGCTGCGGAGCAGCAGTGGCACAGATCCCTGCAGCCTGGCAGGAGCACCCTGCTCCTTCAGGGGTGCTTTCCAACACTGCCAAGGTAGCCCAGAGTCCAAGAGCATGCACTGCACAAGCTAAAGGGAATGACAAGTCAAGGCACCTAGAGGGAAGTGCATTGGATCGCAGTGTAGCTGTCCAGCTGCCTGGCCTATCTGTACAGCCACTTACGGACAAGAATCTGGAGAAAAAGCAGCAAATCAGGGCCCATGAACAGTGTTTTAACAGGCAACTCCATGCAGTTTGCAGTGTCAGTGTCCAAAACCAAAGCTGTAACATTTGCAGGCTATAAAATGCACTTGTGGAGGTGCAGTACTTAGGCTGTCTCACCTTCTGTGAGCCTGGCTTTGCCCCCTGTAGGCTGACACAAGACAGTTGAGCATCCTACACACAGAACTACTGTCTGAGCATGGCTGAACACGGTGGTGATCTTGTAGCATCCTGGAAAACAGCATTATCAAACTTTCCATTGGGTATTTTTAGCATGATCTTTTAATTGTATGTGTAACTGAATCACTTGAAATACCCTTGTCCAAAAGTGCATCTCTATTTCATGACACAGTGTACCGAGTGCAAGGAATCAAATGATTGTTGTGGTCTTAAGGACTTTTACTCCCATTCGTAGGAAAGCAAAACTAAAACTGTTGGGACTCCTCGTGTGCAAATCAGCAGAGCCTGAGCTGACAGCCCCTGCTGTCCTCTGGCCTGTCTCCTGCACACAAGTCCTGCAGTTCTGGGTCAGCCTGGGCTGAGCAGCAGAGCTCACCCCTGGAGAAGTGTTTGACTTGTACCAGAGCAGTGCTGGCACCGAGCCTGGCACCCAGCACAAACACTGCTGTTCAGTCTGCGTTTGCTTGCTGATTAATCATTGCTGCAGGGAAGGCTCATGCCTGGCTGCATTCCCTAAAGCTAACGTGATGTTTACATGAGAAGACTTGCGCAGAGTAACTGTGCAGCACTTCTGTATCCCATGACTTTAGAAAAACTAAAATCACTCACACGTGGCTTTAAAAAGGAATTTTCAATGCTTTGCTTCAGAAAATACAAAGCTGATTGTTTAAATTAACCTTTGAAAAAGACTGAAAACACTTTTACTGTTAACCCAAACAGTAGACAAACCTTTTTCTCTACTAAACCCAACTTAGAGGAAAAAAGAATTAACCATCAGCCGTTTTGTGAAGACGAACAACATCCAAAATTAATTCTGGTAATTAGTAAGGTACAAACCTCCTGAATACTTACCTGGACACTTCACGTCCATGAAGTAGGAGTTCGGGCTCTGCACAAGACGTTTCTTTTTGTGCTTTCTCTTCTCGTCCTCCAAGGAGGGGTGCACGAGGTCCTTGGCCAGCTGCGTGGGGTGAGAGGAGAAGCACATCGCGCGTTACGTCTCGGGCCGGACAGGAACCGAGATGCCCGTGGGGTGCGGCGAGGC